TATATATATATTCATAATGCACATAGCATGAGCAACATAGCATATGTTTCACATCACAGTTAGTACTGAACAGTTGCGTTGTTTAAGCATTCTCTTAACTATGTAACAAATGTACTACAATACCCGATACATACGGTACATAGAGCATGTAGTATTGAGCTTGTAAAATATAATCTACCNNTCCCCCCCCCCCCCCCCCCCAACTTCCAAAAACCTCCTTGCTTTATGCAGGTTAGCGGTCGCGTCTTTGGCGCCCCCTCGGGCACAGGTCCCCAGGCGGCCACTGGTGACCTCCCGGATCAGAGGCAGCTGCTTTGCGAGTTTAAACAGGGTCTAGCGGAAGTAGAGGGAACGCCTAGACGCTGACAGGATGTGGTACAGCGTTTGGGTGATGATGTTCTGGCAATGAAACGGTCATGCTGAGGCTGTGTGATGCTTGTGATGATGCGGCTCGAGCCTGGCGAACATCTACGGCGATGCTGATGTTCATGCCGGTAGTAAGATGTCGGTTGTTGTTGATCGTTGTTGTCTTCGCTGTCGTCCAGGTTGGTGTAGCAGTTGTCGTACTTGGTGGCTGTGATCTCCGCATTCGTAGCATAGGTTTGTGTTGCTGTCAGTGGCCGTTCTTCTCCAGCTGCTATGATAGGGCTGGCTCGTCGCGACAACTCTGCAGCGAGTGATTCGCCTTGTTGGCCAAACCTTGGGTTTCCAGGCATTGATCTCGTTGTGTAGATTTGAGAGCTTTAAGAATCAGGCAGCTGCCCTAAACCCCAGACTCTAAAGTATAAACCCTGAACCCCCAACAATGATCCAGCTTTGCGCCCTAACATCTCGAGTGTGCGGTGTGCAGGCGCCTGAGGAAACCCACGAAACTCAGCTGGGAGCCCAGGTTTGCGATCGGGTTCTTCGATCACTATGATTGCTACAAGTACGACTATCGACTACCAGTGTGATTCCTACCACAGTTTCTATTTTTACTACGTTTACTACGGTTACTATGATCACTCTTATAACTGCCCTCGGAAGTATGATCGGTCCCTGGTTCGCGAACGTTCGCTAGAATCCCACTCCCTGCACTCTGGGGCCCTGTCCCGAAGGCCTTGAGTACAGTGGTAACTACTTGTAGTAGTAACCGTCGTAGTCAGTAGGAGTACGCAGCCCACCAGGGTAGTACAGGTCTCCGAATCCGGATGTGCATGCAGCGGTCGTGTAGTGGTGGTGGCAGTGGTAGTAATTGTGGTAGGCATTCTTCTGCAAGCCCCCTAAACCCTACGACACGCCGAGGCCACTCTTCCGAAAGTAACCTCGAGGCCGAACCTGCCTGCGACAAGTCAGGGTGCTCCATAGGCAATAATTGTTTCGGCTAACAATCTGGATTTACGGTTTCTGGCCTTGATGCAGTGTTATGAGGCAGGTGCTCAGGGTCAAAGCTGAGCTGTTCAGGGATGGCTGTATCCAGAGGTTTAGGGTTAAGGGGTGGGGGCTCGATCACGAAGGGCCGGGTGGCGCCGCGTTGGCAGAGCCCTGTAATACAACACGTAGAAGTCTTGATGTAGGTGAAGCAAGTAACATTACTGAGCAAGGACCTGTGGAATTACAAGAAGCCCCAAACGTGGATAATCACAACTTTGTTCTGTAAACTCTGCGACAAGAGTGACAAGAGGCCATCAAACCGCCTCAAACCGCTGTTAATAGCATGAGATTGCCTTAGGTATGGTTCCATTTCTTACAACCCTCAATAGCTCGGCCCCAGCAAACAGTTTTGAGGAGCTTGATGATGTGGTTTGTTGCCTGAACTCAATTGAGGTGGAGGTGCATAGCTCGAGGGTTCAGAGCCCTGTTCAACTGCAAGCGAGAAGATGCGATCTAAGCAATTGTACCCGAAATGCAGTGGGGAGGCGATATGCTCCACCCGTCATTGTTGACGACGCTGCTCCTGTTTGTCATGGTAAAAACCCTTTTGGCCATCATGACAACTGCTTTCATTAACCTGCTTAGTTATGATATCGTTGCTTTCATGCTTCGTCAAACCTGCAGGTCCAAACAATTCAACTGACTATCTTTATCCACTTTACAAGGGTATGTGTTAGCACGACATATACCACGGTCGATTAAGACAAACCTCAGTGCCGGCAGGACAAGCTTGGACGTCGTGAGTTCTTTGACATCTGCCGAAGCCCAAGTTTTCTTTTTAATCCGAGACAATGCTAGGAAGGCGTTGGTTTTTTGGGGCACTTCAGACCTTCTACGATTTTCAATGGTCCGGGGCTTTGGCGCTCTATTGACGTTCTGAAAAGGCCCAGCTTGACAGTGAGCTCAGGGCAGTTTCCGCAACCGACCTCCATATCGCACTGAGCTCCTTCACTCCCGGAACAAAGCTGAACTCCAGACTCGCAGACGTCCCATTGCACTTACGTTGTTCCTATGTTTTCGTTCAGGAACTAGGGGCAGGTGAGGGGGGTAAGTCATCGCAGCCATTGGAAGCATTCTTGAAAGATCCTGGATTCTTTGCGGGTAACAAGTTGAAGCCTTCGGCAATACAGCACCCTCTAAACTTAACCTCTTGTAAACCCTAAATCCCGCAACAGAATGCATGGCTGGACCAAGTCACCTGGGCGGACAAGTATGCACAGCTCATCGGTCGGCCAGACGTGCGGCTCTGGGCTCAAGACGAAGTCATCCTCTTTTAGGATTTGGCCGTGGGTGTAAGAAGAGTTTAGGGTTGAAGGGTTAAGGTTTGGACTCATGTAGGGTCTATGAAGCTAGGATTTCTGTAGTGAGTGGGATGGGCAAGAATACTAGGTTGACTGAAAACGTCTGCCTGCATCGCGTTACCACGCATGACACACAATGACAGCATCATGGTACAATGCTTCTACCTAATCAAGATGTTCACATGGTCGCCGTATTGCATGCCCCAGTGCAGTTTCATTGCCGGACTGCACTTGTACGAGAAGCGACCCGATCTCCCGTGCGTTGCATCTAAGCACTGACCATCATTAATCGATCTGTTTTCATGTAGCCTTACTGTCAGGCAGTGAAATGAGAAACCACTATCTCTGCAGTATGCTGCAGTTCGATCGACCAAGTCAGGCCCCATGCGCAGCAGCGCAGCTTGCTGGATGGGTGGTGCACTTACCACTGGACAGCACGTCGTGAAGCCATTGTACAGTCCCTAAGCCCCAAACCCCAAACTGAACTAGAGCTCGCCTATTGAAGTCCGGTCACAACCCGTGGCCCATGTACGACTGTCTTGGACACGTGCATAGTTTAACGAGGTGCTGTAAATTTAGTTGGACTTGCACTTTGTTGAAGCTTATGTGCGCGTGTCATTAGATCCCATTCGATTTTCACATGCCTCAAAGCCAGAATAGTGATATTCTGCCCTCATGACACTCCGGCGTAATGTTGAAGCAGGTACAGTAGACGGGCAGTCCTGCCGTCAGCTCCTCAACGCCAGACCGGATTGCAAGCCAAGGATTGAATCCCATCTCCTGCTGGCTGAAAAGGAAGGCGACCGTTCGAATCAGTAAAACCCTAAAGCCTAAGCCCTAAACGTCTTTGATTTCTAGTGGAGCTGGTAGCTAGTGAGACCGTTGGAAGCTGAAGGGTCTTCACTTCGACCAGAGGTTCATGGAAGGGCTTGTCAGTCCTCAATGTACGGCTAATTATTCATGTGAATTTATGCATCCAAGTTGTTGTTGAGCCTTGTGTGGCAAAAGACGAGTCCTTTTAATCTTTGTTTTTGACTATTCGGGTTTCGGCGCTTTCTAAACCACCTCTTGAACCCTCAAGTGGTGATGAGCCCCACCTCTTCAACCCACCGCCCCATGCCCTAAAACTCCAAAGCCAACCTGAATCCTTGAGTAACTCCTGAAATTCCAAGACCTGCACGCCCGTAAGTCCTGTGGAGGCCCTTTCACCGCTTTTCTCACTCATGCATAAACTCTCGAAGGCGAGAAAGGGCCCCCCCCCCCCCCCCCTTCCCACCTTTCCATCTAGGACCCTAAGCCCTGAACCCCTTGAAGATGAAGCGACCCCGCATGCACAGGCGACATCGAGGACCTGAGCACTTCTGCCTCGGATTGTGATGGTAAGCTCGAGCCGGAGACCTGGGAATGTACTTATGTATGTATGTATGTA